GGATGGCTAACAAACACAAGGGGCGTGGTTAGGGCCGTACACAGAGGAGGTGCTCACACCGACGTCCGCACCTGCATCCCCCACGGGCCCCTCCCGGGGGCCGAGTACTATAAAAGGTGGTGAGCCGGAGGGCTCGAGGTCGAGTATTAGCTTAAACCAGCGAAGAGCGAAGACCAGCTAGAATAGGCCCCGGAGCTCCCCTGGCTCGCTGTCCTTGTCAGGGCCGACCAGGGCAAGCCGGTGGCGTGGCCCCGAGAGCCCAGACTGACGTTCTTATAAGAGCCGGTCTGGAGACTCAGGGTGCCGGGATCCCAGCTTGACCAGGGCTGGGATAGGTAGCCTCCCCTAGCTCCGTAGTGGAGGACTCGGGCGTAGGTTAGTGGGGTTAGATGTTGCATCTCCCTGTTAGACGAGTGAAGGGGACGATACCCCTCTAAGTGCTGTGTGTACCCGTTACTGTGCACAAGTTGGTGTTAATAAATAAGTGTGCCTCCGACTCCGTCGTCAAAGCCTCCTGAATACTTACTACACAAGCATCACAGCATGGAAAGCCACAGTTCAGCAGGGAGAGATGCTGAAGAAAGTGATTTAAGTAATCCAGGACCTCCCATCTTGCCTCAATACGACCAAGGGAGTTCAAGGCCCCAAAGAGAGGTCAGGCTGACACAACGGGCCTTGGAAAGCTATGATGCTGAGAAGCAAGACCTTGATGCCAGGATGCAAAGGCCATGGGACCGGGTTGAAGCAGATGTATCTGAAGCTCAAAACAACTCAGACACAGTGGCCTCAATTCAGCGGGCCATACAGCGAGTGAAGGTGAGCAGTTCAAGCTACAAGCTGCTGGCAAATGAATACATTTCCCTCCTGATCAAGGTGAAAACAGACGAGGGCATCGAGGGAGTGCGCATGCAAGAGCACTTCCTTGAACTGCTCGATGATAATGTGCAGGCAGTGATACAAGACGCAATGGACCGTGTGGAGGGCTTAAGAGAGACACGATCTCAGCATTCTGTCTCATACAATTTCACCACAATATCTAAAGGCTCAGCACACTCACAGATATCTACCAGTATGGCAGCAGCTCAGGCACATGCAGCAGAAGAAGCAGCAAACGCCCGTATTGCCTACATGGCTGAAGAGGAAGCCATGCTAATTGGGCCTGCATACAAGAAGAAGCAAGCATAGAAACTGTTGCCGCATGGAAGAAAGCAGAGCAAGAAAAAGCAGAGCTTGAAGAGCAAGAAAATACATTAGTGGCTACCGGCACACAAGAAAATTGAGCTGGATGCTAAGTTAATCACCCTACAACTCAAAAAGGAAGCAGCTGCTGCAAAGGCTCAGGCAGAGGTGCTCGAAGCAGCAGCCAATCTGGATAAGGAAGATAATTGGAGTGAGTTTGGCACTCGGATACCTGTCAAGGACCATGATAAACTCACCAGAAAAAATATTTTGGACTGGTCTGAACAATGCACCAATGCTCCTCCACCAAACGATACTGAACAAAGGGTGGATGTTCAGGCATCGCCATCTCCGCACCGAGTCAACATGAATGCTGTCTACGGGAATGGTGGAAATGCATATCCTACCCTGGCAGTTAGTCGCCGACTCAGCGTCGCACACGTGGGGTTAGACGTGGATGCACCACGTCAGACCCACATTCCAGACAGTCACATAAAGGAATCAAACCAACGTGATCGAAACTTTTTGGGCCCACAATCCAACGCCATCGCGAATGACGGCATGCTAAGGCAATGCATCCAATAATGGCACTTCACAAGTGCCAGTATGGACACACCCTGGATCAGCAGGCTTAAGGGAATTTGCTAGGTACCTGGCTCACCGCGAACTAATCAACACAGGACCCGTTAAGTTTGATGACCACTCTGAGAACTATCGAGCCTGGATACCTACCTTCAGGAACGCAATCAGAAATGCAGACATCTCTTCAAGTGAAGAACTCAACCTGTTGGTGAAATGGTTAGGAAACGAATCTGCAGAGTATGCAAAGAGGATCCGGTCGGCAAACATAGACGACCCTGCCTCAAGCCTGCATGCGGTGTGGAGAGGCTCGAGGAATGCTATGGTAGCCCAGAAACCATTGAGAAGGCTCTCTTCAAGAAGTTGCAGAACTTTCCAAAAATCTCTGGTCGAGACAATAAAAGGTTACGAGAGCTTGGAGATCTTTTGATGGAGCTTGAATCAGCCCAGGCTGACCCCTACTTACCAGGTCTCATTTTCTTGAATACCTACCATGGCGTGAACCCCATCGTAGAGAAATTGGCATTTGACGTGCAGGAAAAATGGAGAACAACGAGTTCAAGATACAAGTCTGAGCATCAGGTTGCATTCCCCCCATTCTCTTTTTTCGCAAAGTTTATCCGCAACCTGGCTAAGACCAGAAATGACCCGAGTTTTATGTTTGGCACCACCGGGATTTCCTGTCCAGATCTCCCAAAAATGGAAAGAGCAATGGCGAAACGAGAAACAGCGAGAGTGCCAATTTCCGTACACAAGACTGAGGTCTCTCCTACGACATTCGCAAACTCCGTCCAGGCAACCATCACAAAGAAGAAGATAGAGGATCCAGAAAAGGAATGCCCATTGCATGATAAACCTCATTCCCTCCAGAAATGCCGTGAGTTCAGGAGGAAGCCATTGGAAGAGCGGAAGAACATGCTGAAAGAATTTGGAGTGTGCTTCAAATGCTGTGCTTCTACAAACCACCTTGCAAGGAATTGCAAGGCAGATATCAAGTGCGAGGAATGTGGCAGCGACAAACACGCAACTGTTCTGCACATTTTACTCCAAACCTAGTGGCACTAAGGCTTCCGATCCCGAAGCAGAGCACGGCGGGGAGCAAGGCGAGACAGCCGCACTCACTTCGTCAATCACAACCAAATGCACATAAGTCTGTGGAGAAGGCTTCAAAGGAAGATCTTGCTCAAAGATATGCCTCGTCCGAGTGTATCCCAAAGGACATCCTAAAAGTGCAGTAAGGATGTACGCCATAATGGATGACCAAAGCAACAAGTCTTTGGCAAGTTCAGAGTTCTTTGATCAGCTAAGCGTATGTGGGAATTCTTTTCCATACACGCTCAGAACATGCTCAGGACTGATGGAGACAGCGGGAAGGAGAGCGAGCAGCCTCATGGTGGAAACCATGGATAGTACCATGAAGCTAGCCCTTCCTACGGTGATAGAGTGCAATGAGATACCGGACGACAGGAGTGAGATTCCCACACCCGAAGTCGCACGTCACCACCCACACCTGAAACCCATAGCAGAGTTCATCCCGCCATTGGATCATGGAGCACAGATTTTACTTCTGCTTTGCAGGGACATGCTGAGAGTCCACAAGGTTCGCGATCAACGCAACGGACCTCACGACGCTCTCTATGCCCAGAGACTCGACCTAGCATGGGTCATCGTAGGTGATGTCTGTCTCGATGGAACACACAAACCAGACCACATTAGCACATTCAGAACAAGTGTGCTCACGAATGGGCGCACGTCGCTCTTCAAACCGTGCCCCAACCACTTCACGCTTACAGAGAAATTTGAAGAGAGAAGTCAAGGTTGTACCATGCAGACCTACGAAGAAACCATCATGCTGACCACGACTTGGCTTGTACATCCACCGTCTTCGCGGGATTTTGTTCCTCCACGTTTCTGCAAGCCAGTCATGACTGACAGGAAGAAGACAAAGATGAAGCTGCTGCTCGTTGCTCTGCTGGTGGTCGTGGCGGTTGTCGCTGCGACTGTGGCCTCTCCGTTCCTAGATCCGGAGCTGCCGTCCGAGCAGGAATCCTGGAAGGAGTTCCACGGCAAGGCCCCACAACCAGAACATACCATCCCAAGGCTCGAGCTGTGTGGAGCCGTTCTAGCTACAGAAGTGGCGGAACTGATCTTAGACGAATTGGACATTAAACTGGATGCGGTCAAGTTCTACACGGACAGTAAGGTCGTACTAGGCTACATAAACAACCAAACCAGAATGTTCTACACCTACATCAGCAACAGGGTGGAACGCATCAGGAGATCGACGCAGCCGGAGCAATGGAATTACATTCCAACTGAACAGAATCCAGCAGATCTCGCAACTAGGTCTGTCCCTGCTTCTCTGCTGAAGCAAACCATCTGGCTGACGGGTCCAGCATTCCTCTCACGACGTGACGGTGGCCCAGGTACTACCAAAGAGACTTTTGGACTCGTAGAGCCCGAGTCAGACAAGGAGATTCGTCCTCAAGTGACAACTTTCCACTGAGTCCACACCATTTTGAACATTTCTCGAAATGGACGATGCTCGTGCGAGCGATAGCACATTTAACGCATATCGCAGACTGCTTCCATCGCCCGATGAGAGGCACCACTGGTAGCTGCAATGGGTGGCATCACTGCACAGTGCCACGCACTGAAGATGAGCTTTCCAGAGCAAGGAAATCAATCTTCCGCTGTGTGCAACAGGCAGCTTATGCAAGTGAGATCAAGGCCATCAACAAGAGAGAAGACCTTCCTAGGGTCAGCACCCTCAAGAAGTTAAACCCCAGGATGGACAAAGACGGCTTGCTCAGGATCGGTGGTCGGCTAGGGAACGCAAGATTAGATGAGAATGAACGAAACCCCCTTATAAGCCCAAGCCAGAACCACATCACAATTTTACTTGTGCGCTACTACCACGAGAAGGTCAAGCACCAAGGTCGGCACTTCACAGAAGGAGCAATCCGATCTGCAGGGTTGTGGATCGTTGGAGCAAAGAGGTGCATCACCAGCACAATCCACAAGTGTATCAGGTGTCGCAAGCTACGTGGAAAACAGGAAGAACAGAAAATGGCAGACCTCCCAGCCGATCGACTCAGTGTGGAACCTCCCTTCACCTCTGTAGGGATCGACGTGTTCGGACCATGGACAGTCATCTCCCGCCTCACCAGAGGAGGGCTCGCGAACAGCAAACGTTGGGCAGTGCTGTTCACCTGTATGAGTACACGAGTAGTGCACATCGAAGTCAACAAGTCCATGGACTCTTCGAGCTTTATAAATGCACTCCGGAGATTCTTCGCCATCAGACGGCCAGCCAAGCAACTCTGTTCTGATTGTGGAACCAATTTCACTGGAGCATGTAAAGAGCTTAAGATCAATACAGAAAATGTTGAAGATGACTCTGTAGGGAAATACCTTAGTGACCAAGGCTGCACATGGATCTTCAATCCTCCTCACTCTTCGCATATGGGTGGAGCCTGGGAACGCATGATCCGGATTGCTCGACGCATTCTCGACTCCATGCTGTGTGATGTCGGGTCCTCACGGCTCTCTCACGAGGTCTTGACCACTCTCATGGCCGAGGTCTCAGCCATAATTAATTCAAGACCCCTGATCCCTGTCTCAAACGACCCGGAGTCACCATTCATCTTGACTCCTGCTACACTTCTTACCCAGAAGACAGACGTGCTCACAGCACCCACCGAGGATGTCAGCACTGCAAACCTCTACAGACGTCAATGGAGACAAGTGCAGAGCTTCGCCAACACGTTCTGGCATCGCTGGAAAACGAGTACCTTACGACACTTCAAGTGCACAGCAAGTGGCAGTCTAACAGGCCAGACATCCAAGAAGGTGACCTCGTCTTACTGAAGGACAACCAAGTCAAACGGAATGAGTGGCCAATGGGCTGCATCCTCAAGACGATTCCCAGTGCCGATGGGAAAGTTCGAAAGGTCGAGGTTATGATTGCGAAGCAAGGTGTCGCAATAACTTTTGTCAGGCCCATAGTCGAGACAGTACTACTTCTCTCTCGTAAAGATATGGACAAATAAGTTGACCCGTTGAAGTTGGCAGGTGTTTTGCTCCACGGCAGGAGTGGGGGTGTGTGTCCACAGGAATTTCCTGTTTTGAGGTTGAGTTTGGTCATGTGAACAGAAAGTTACGATTTGACAGTCTTTCAACCACAAGGCTGGCGTCCGCCATTACACAGAATTCAAAATGGTGGCACACATCGCATCCCAGTGAAGACAGCTGTAACTGTACATTGTGGGACTTAAAGAAGCATTGTCTGTAAGTTCGTTTATGTTCTTATAATACTGGGAATGCTGTTATAATGTTAGAATGACTGTTATAATGCTGTAAATGCCTTTATAATGATGTTAAATTGTTATGATAAATATGAGTCCTAGTTAACAACGAAGCCTGCAATTTGCCTTATTGTGAATGTCACTTGTAATTGAATAAGTCGAGTCAGACTTGTACCCAAGTAACTATATTGCGATCTTGAGAGCAAGGATGATGAAATATTTCATCCACAATTTAGTGTTATGTGTGGTGCTGTACATTTGGGTGCAGTGTGATGATTACATGTGCCTTTATTTAACACAGTAGCTTATTCTCTTTTACAGCTGTTCAGTACTAATGTAGGTGCCTGGTCCATCCAGGATCTATTGTTGAGTTTCAGGTTATCTAAGGCAATGTTATGATGCTGTAATGTTCATTCATTGTGAAACAAACCACTGCGACGACGATCTGGGCTTGTGTCTTCATCTTTATTATTTTCTTTCCACAGCTGGACAGCTCCGCTCTCTCTCTCTCTCTGACTCGGCTGCACTCCGTTCCGCGCGGCTGTGTGGTTACTCACGCCTGCTCTCTCTCAACCTCTCCCGCTCCCGCGCGCCGCTGACAGGCGGTGCGCTAGGAGGAAGCCTCCAGCCCGCTACGTGGCCGCTGGCGTCCCGGAGGCGAGCGACGTGGTCCCACTCTCTGATTCCACACACTGACCCCGAGCTCTCTTCCGCTTCCCCTTATATCCCCTGGCCTACGTCACCAATCCCCGCCTACAGCCACGCCCCCTCACGAACCTTCTAGATGGTTACTTCCCCAGAGCCTTTTGAGCTCCGCCCCTAACCTCGGCCCATCCCTCTGATTGGGTGATGGCCCAAGCGGCGGAGCCTATCCACTGATCGGCGCTCGTCGGTGAGCTCTCTTATTACAATTGCATTGATATTAAGTATTAACAGATGCTGTATTTGTGCTGTGTTTTTCCATCAGTTTTACCTCGTTCAATTCAATAAATTACATTTGGAGTCGGATGTTCACCCTGAAGGTTTATTGGATGCGAGGTTAACTACTCGGATAGAGGTGCAACGCAGCGCACAGCGAGGCCGAGAGACAAGGTAAGTGAAGATAAAATAGATTTTTTAAATATGAATTTCACTTTATTGTATGTTATGTTTACTATACAGTATTTTTTTTAGTGTTACATACAAATGTACAATAATTATTTTTTATAATTTTAACAACGCTTCTCTTTTTGTTGAACTTTAACACATTGCATTGCACTGACCGTATGGGTATTTTAAACACAGTACCATAGTGTGTTCCGACTTATGAACAGTTCGACTTTCGAACGTGTCTCAGGAGCGGAACCCATTCATAAGTCAAGGACTGCCCATATAAATCAATGGTGCATCCATCCAGACCGTTGCTTTCAAAAACAACGTAGCGGCCCTTGCGAGCCGCTCCTCTTCCTCTGCCCCCTCTCCCTCGTTCCGCCTCTCTGGATCATGAGGCAAGTGACTTAATATCCACCGTTAATGCATGCTGGTTGTGCCTCGGGGTGATGCGGTGCACTGGGAACTCGGGTTGGCTGGACTGTTTAAAGAAAGGTTTGAGAGAGGTCCTGACAGACCCGACCTGACCCTCACAATTATGATACATATACGTTAAACCAACAGCTCCCATTTGTCAATATACACGTATGTTTAACACGTAGGCTTTTGCGATTAATATTCATAATAAAGGTTTTTGGGTTAGATCGTGTTATTTATAAATGTGTCGTAAGCCTCCACCCGACACGGCCAAACAGTAAAAAAAATTATTACGTTTACAAAGGATAAATAGTTCACTACTTTAGCCCACCAGTGTGTTGAAGAGTGAATCAACATCACTTAAAATTGTGAGTATGACGTTTCGCTGGTAATTACATCCGGCATCATCGGGTAATTTGCCAGAATGGTGAGGCTCCCCTCTTGCTCCCGGTCTTAAATAGAGCAGCAGCAGGGTGACGTCATCATGTAACTCATTTCAGGTGCAGTGATTTGAGGCGGCGAGGGTATTGTAATATATATTTTATTTAATAATAATACACTTCCAGGCCGCACTAAGCCTGTAGCTGTCAGAGCGATTAAAGTTATTTGTATTTCTCCCAATTTCAATGGATTCTCTAATTAGTCTTGGCCAGTAATAATTAGTTTTACACAATACTTCAACGTTATCAAAATCAATTGAGTGTCCTTGTTGACAAGCATGCTCATCTACTGCCGACAGTTGTGTTTGAGATAATTTAATATTTCTTTGGTGTTCTTTTAGTCTTACGCTGATGTTACGTCCAGTCTGTCCAATATAGCATCTGCCACATACACAATTAATCCGATATACACCTTCTGTTGATAATTTAGGCAATTCGTCTTTAGTGCCAGATGCCAGTTTTTTTATTTTGTGTACTGTACCAAATCTTACTTTAATGTTTTGCTTTTGCAAAACACGGGCTAATTTGTCAGTTACTCCTGAGATATATGGTATTTTAATTTTGAACAATCTGATCGCTTTCAGCAGTGTTTCTTTGCGTTCGTGATTTGGCATTCAGTGCTCTGTTAATTTGAGCATTATTGTAGCCATTCTGTCTTAGTGCTTCTTTAACATGTTTAATCTCTCTCACTAGACTTTCACCATCTGACACTGTTTTAGCCCGATGTATGAGTGTCTTGATAAGAGAGGATTTCTGAGCTGGGTGATGATGTGAATCAGCATTCAGATAGGCATCAGTGTGCGTTTGCTTTCGGTAAACGCTGTGTGTTATTTTGCCATTTAGACCATGTCCAAGCAAAATATCTAGGAACGGGAGTCTGTTATTCACCTCCATTTCCATGGTGAACTGGATGGCCGAGTTTTGTGCATTGAGATTATTTAGAAAATCATTAAGTGCATCTTACCATGTGGCCAGACAACCAAAGTCTCATCAACATATCTAAACCAAAAAGATGGTTTTAATGTACTTGAGGCAAGTGCTCTTGTTTCAAAGTTTTCCATGTACAGATTTGCTATAGCGGGAGATGAAGGAGAGCCCATTGCGGCTCCTTTCTTTTGATTAAAGAAATCACCTCTCCATAAGAAGTAAGTGTTATTTAAACAATGATCAGCTAGTTTCGGGATATCTTTTGGTAAACCTGTATTCTTTACTTGTGTATCAAGTAACTTAAGCGATTCATTCACTAGAACCTTTGTGAATAGAGAAATCACATTAAAACTCACCAGAATATCATTAGGGTTAAGTTTGATATCTTTAATCACATTCACAAGATGTTCTGAATTTTTTTTATGAATGAAGATGTCCTACCGATGTAGGGCTGTATTTGTTTAGTTCTATATTTTGCTAATTTATATGTGGCAGAGCCAATTGTACTGACTATGGGTCGTAATGGGATGCCGATTTTATGAACCTTTAGTAGCCCATACAATCTCGGTGGTTTTGAGGCCCTTGGCTTAATTCGGCATTGCTCATTCTTAGGGATTAATTAATTTGCAATGATTGCAGTAGTCTTATGTTCTAAAGTATTGGTTGGATCTCGTTTAATTCTATTGTAGGTACTTTCGTCTAGTAAATCTTAAATTTTATTATCATAATCGGCTCGTGACATCACTACAGTAGTGCGGCCTTTATCAGCTGCCATAATTTGAATATCTTTATTTAATCGGAGCTCTCTTAAGGCTTTTGCTTCGTTCGAGCTAATATTTACTTTTGGTACTTTACTATTCTCAATTATTTGGCAACCTCGTGTCTAGTCATCTCTGCCTTATTATGTGGAAGTAGTCTTACTGCTGATTCTACCTCAGCAATTCAGTTAAATGATTATGTCACCTTGCTGCTGCTCTATTTAAGACCGGGAGCAAGAGGAGAGCCTCACCATTCTGGAAAATTGCCCGATGCTGGATGTAATTACCAGCGAAACGTCGTACTCAAAATTTTAAGTGATGTTGATTCACTCTTCCACACACCGGTGGGCTAAAGTAGTGAACTATTTGTCCTTTGTAAACATGACACTTTTTTTACTATTTGGCCGTGTTGGGTGGTGGAGGGTTACGACACATTTATGAATAACGCGATCTAACCCAAAAACCTTTATTATGAATAATATAAGCGGGAAAATATGGTACTCGCAGGTTCCCGGGCTTACCTCACGTGCCCCCTCTATCACCTCTCCCCAACATTCCTTTCTCTGACTTATCACATGACCCGCTGGCAGACAGGGCTGCTGCAACTGCAGATCCCCTTCTCTGTCAGCAACCCGCGCAATGCTACGTAGTGACCCATTCCATGTCACTACAAATGTATTAAATATGTTGATTTAATTGGTGTTGGTTGTATTGCCTAGATTGTCAGCCGATGGTTGTATGACTGTATTATTTGTATTACCAATGTATGTTGAATTTCAATAGCACCGTACGTAGCCAAGTTTCAAGTTTTCAAGTTTCATTTATTAGGTATAGCCCTGTGAGCCATGCGGCTCTTAAGTCGGGTGCAACAGCAACAAACAAAATATGAACTCTCAAAGCGACGACGCGCAACAGAAAAATCCTGGATAAACCAGCAAATCTTTAAAAAAAAAACGCTGTGCAAAAATCCCCGTGTGATGCAAGTCAAACAATTAGCCAACTGTACTAATCGGAAGCGTGCGGGGAGGACAACAAACTAAACACAAAAGGTAGTTGTAAAGAAATGAGATTTCAATCTAGATCAGTTAAAAGTGCACAGCTACAGTGGCTTCCCAATATCTGAAGGGAGAGCGTTCCAGACAACCGCAGAAGCGCATCTGAAAGCGCATGATGCAGTGACCATCATTGTTCGATGGTCAGCCGAAAGTGGAGTATATAGTGTACCGTATAGTATTGTAGCGTATAATGTAGTATAATGTATAGTAGTTTTGTGTATAGTAGTGTAATATATAGTGGAGTGTACATAGCATCTGAAAGCGCGTGATGCAGTGACTGTCTTTGTTTCGATGGCCAGCCAAAAGCTTCTGTGATGGTGACCGGAGTTTGCATGATGGTTTATGCTCCTTAACAAGATCAGCGAGTCATCTTCTTGGTTCTTTCGGTAAAGTCACGTAGAATGGAAATAATAAAATAACAAAAATAAAACATAAAATAATTCTCACGACGTTTTGGCCACAACGCAAGCAGCCGTCCTCAGGTGGAGAACAGGTCTGTCGAGAAGACAGAGTCTGAATGACACACCCCAGGCTTGGAGCGACTATTTAAGCTGGGATGGAGGGGGGAAGAGCGCCTTGACAAAATAATTTACATATCAAGAGGAATTTAGCATATTTATGGGAAATGCAGATATGCGATTAGTACTACTTGTGAAATGCGTAGGAGGTTTGGCGGGGGGTTTAAAGTCATTATGCCCGTGCATTATGCAGGATTATCAGCATCAAAGGGAGGGGATAGGGGTAACATTAATAAAGGGAAGGAATGTTAATAGTATGTAGCGTAACTAAACCACCACGTAAACAACTAAAGTATAAACTACATAGTATCATCAGTATACTAAATATACTCTCCAATAAGCTGAGCTACTAACAGTAAGTAATACATTACAATTCTATGTCGCAAAAAATATAATATGTTTCCAGCTAAACTTTATTCTCTTACATCACACGAGTCTACACCTTACTACATACTGCCATAGACAAACCCAACATTAAATGATATACTGTATTGCTATAAACCAACCTAAACCTTATACATTGTAATATTACACTATGTATTATTCTACCCACCCTAATGTATATCACACTGCTGTATATTCACTATACAATTACGATACTATATATTACTTTGTACATTGTATTAAACATTACAATTTTATACTATTATTATACAATCCGCTATACACTGTACCATTGACCGTCACGTGAAAGATACTAAAAGGAAGCAACGAAATATGTCAATGGGAGAGTAGTGGTAGGAGACTTGCAGCAGAGCAAAGATCAGCGAGGTATTGTGGTTCATTTGTGGAAAGCACTTTGTGTGTTATGAGTGCGACCTAATAATGTATTCGTTCGACAACTGGAAGCCAATGCAGCTCGGTGAGCACTGGACGGACATGGTCAGATCTTGCACTACCCGCCACATCACAACACCTGCCAGTTAATGTTTTATATGCTGCAGCTGGATAATGTAATATTTTAACCAAAGTGAGACCTCAACCGCAGAGAATCGGACCGCTTTAACACATAGGCTGTCTTTGCCAAAATTATGTTTACCTATAAATGTCATTGTTTGTCTGTCTGTGTGTGGCCGAAACTTGCGAAGGATTTGGCTCGCAAACCGTGAGGTTTACGTTAAAAAAAATTACCCAGATAGCATGCCATAAGCCCCGTGCTGAGCCAGCACTATTCCGATTTTGCGTCCGTCACCTTTAAAGTAATCTTGATTTGAAGCTTTCGTGACTGCAGGAATCCATACTTTTTGGTTCTTTCGGTAAAGTCACGTAGGAATAAAAATAAATATTTATAATATATCACGACATTTCGATCGCAACACAAGCGGTCATCCTCAGGCTCAGACCCCGCTTGCTTGCCCATTGCCACATATATAACCTTGTTCTAACAGCTCTCTCGCTGGTTCAGCAGTTCCATTGCTGGATTATTTTTTCCACCTGAGAACGACCGCTTGTGTTGCGATCGAAACGTCGTGATATATTCTTTTTATTTTGTTTTATTTTTCTACCTACGTGACTTTACCGAAAGAACTAAGGAGTACCTTGAAAGTAGTTTAATTAGCGATTTAGTGCTGTTTTCGGTTATTCATTTATTAAATAGCGCATGCTCGACCTTACCAACTCACACGCATTCGGTGGGGGGGGAGGGCCCCTACCAAATCACACACGTTCGGTGGGGGTGAGAGGGGAATTCTCTTTCGCATGGACACTGCGCAAGGTAACACAGATTTACAGCTCCATGACTGTTTACTCATTTCAAATTGCCTTTTATAGGTTAGATTTAACGACAGGGATGAACCAATGCTTATGAAGAAAACCCTTTTTTGTACTCTTGAGGCATGACAGGCCACGCAATATCACTTACTGCACAGAGGCAAACCAATAAATATACTCAATTATGTCTTCTATCATATTTACACATGCCCCCTCAGTAGGGGGGTTGAGCAGTGACGTTATGCCAATTACGCTTGTTTGGTGCGCATCTGCTCATAGTTACAGGTAGGTTAGGTTCATTTTGTCTTCATTGACTTTAATTTCTTTGCCACTCTTGCTCTCGGCAAATGTTTGCACCAAAATGGCGGAACACCCTCGCAGACGCTCCTAATTACTTCTTATACACGCGTGTATTTCCCCATTCCCTTGCTTCTTTCGCTAAAGTCACATACATAGAAAACTATTTAGTCTATATAAAAGTTAGTGTGTACGTCCACGTGTGCATGTGAGTCCATGTATATGTGTGCGTTGTGTCTGCAAGTCCGTGTGTGTGCGTCAATGTGTGTGTGAGTCAATGTGTGTGTGACAGTCACTGTGTTTGTTTGTGTACGTCCATGTGTGTGTGTGCAGTGTGCGTTTAAGTCGATGTGTGTGTCAGGCGATGTGTGTGTATATTAGTCCATATGTGTGTGTGTAAGTCCATATGTGTGTGTGTAAGTCCATATGTGTGTGTGTAGTTCCATGTGCGTGTGTTTAAGTCGATGTGTTTGTGTGTGTTAGGTGGCAAAAGCCAGTCATCTCGGTCAGTCCACCCGTGGCACCTGCTGGGTCTGCCCCGTGACCTCCTGCCAGCGGGCGTTCGACACTTCACGTGGCCTCAAGGTGCACTTGGCCTGGCACAAGCGTCGTGGTGATGTCACCGCCACTTAGTGGTGAATGGCGGTTGTTGTTGTTGTGTGTATTAGTCCATATGTGTGTGTGTAAGTCCATATGTGTGTGTGTAGTTCCATGTGCGTGTGTTTAAGTCGATGTGTTTGTGTGTGTTAGTCGATGTGTCTGTGTGTGTGGGTCCATGTGTGTCAGTCGATGTGTGTGTGTGTACGTCGAAAAGTGCGTCTGTGTTAGTCCATGTGCGTTTGTAAGTTGACGTGTGTGTGTGTAAGTCGATGTGTTTGTGTGTGGGTCCATGTGTGTCGGTCGATGTGGACCCCCCTAATGGAACATCTTCTTCGGTTAGAAACATTTAGGCTGACCTTCCTACGATCAATCCTGGGTTTAACCAGGCTGGATTGTGTCAGGAGCTCACAAATCCTTGAAAGATCTGGACAAAGTCCCATCAGTGAGCACCTCCGGCAGGCAAGGCTGCTTTGGCGGGGCCATATAGCCCGCATGCCCAATCACCGCATGCCTAAACAGCTTTTGTTTGGCCGGATAGATGGGGCTAAACGGGCGCGGTACGGGCTAGAGAAGAGATGGAGTGATGTAGTACAGGAGGACGTGGAGCTGAGTGGACTTGCTGATGACTGGTACCAGCGGTGTCAAGATCGGCCTCAGTGGAGGAGGCTCGTGAAGGACGCTACTGGGCAGTTGGAGGCAGTCGCCCTCCTACAACAATTGAGGGCGGAGGAGCGACGCTCACAACAACGAGCGGAGCGCCGGGTGGCTCAAGCACAGCAAGTTGGCACAGTAGGGGGCACAGGTGGTGCATCAGCCAGTCATCTCGGTCATCTCAGTCGACCCGTGGCATCTGGGTCTGCCCCGTGACCTCCTGCCAGCGGGCATTTGACACTTCACGTGGCCTCAAGGTGCACATGGCCTGGCACAAGCGTCGTGGTGACGTCACCGCCACTTAGTGGTGAATGGCGGTTGTTGTGTGAGTCCATGTGTGAGTGTGTGGGTCGATGTCTGTGTGGGTGTAAGTCGATGTGTGTGCGTGTCTTTTTCGCCCGGGCAATGCCGGGTACTTCCCGCTAGTTCATAATAAAGGTTTCTGGGTTAGATCGCATGAATATAAATGTGTCATTAACACACCACCCGACACAGCCAATTAGTAAGGTTTGTCACGTGAACAAAATGCGTCAGTTACTAGTTCAGCACATAGGTGTGTTGGAGAGTAAAACCCACAAAATTTACATTGAGTACTGTGATGTTTCGCTGGTGATTGCAATCAAGTTCATAAGGCGCTATGCCAGCTTCATCAAGCGGTTTGCTTCACCAAGGGACTAAATATAAGCCACGTTCTCGGAATCAACGGAGCCTTGAATATAACGGATGATCAACACACTCTATTGCATTCCTCTTGTTGTTTGGGGTTGTTTTCTTTTTTTCAGGACTGAGATTAAACTAAAAACGGTTGAAATCGTGAATTCTTGAATGGAAATTGCATGTCACCCTGGAGCAAGATCATCGCGCTGCTGATAGCACTCCTTGTAAGATGTACGTAGACCACATTCGGTCACATTGTTGTACCTTTTACATCCGTTTACTGACAGAGAGAGACACCAGGTAGCATGGTGCGGATGCGGTATCTGTCACCGTGAATGCATTGTGGTGGTGATATTGCCGATGGTTCTGCTGCTGCCAGTGATGCTGCTGATGTTTATTGATTCTGATGGTGATCCTGATGATGTGTTAGTGTGTCTGCTATAAGCACATACTGTGTGTTTGACGATTCTGAAGTACGTATGATGATGTACATAGATGCTGATGAAGCATATATATGACGATAACGCTCATGATGTATATATATAGATGGCGCTGATGCTAATTATGTATAGAGATGTTTCTGATAATGTATGATGTATATAGATGATGATAATGATGATGTATTTTGATGATGCTATTAAATGTATGATAATATCTTCTATATAGATGATGATACTTTAGGACGAACCTGATGCAGTTGTGGTGGCTGTCCGTCTGCATAAAAGTACTGCACACGCCGAGTATTTGTCTCCTACTGCTCACAGATGCCCGCGCTGCAAGAGAAATCGCCGTCCACACAGACACAGAGGTTGCCATCATGCAGGGCAGCGACGCTCTCCTGTCGTGCACCTACGACTGCACGCCCCACGGGGACAACCACACGGTGGTGCAGTGGTGGAGAGTTAAAGAGGGTAACGTTGAACAGGCAAGTCATTGTCTCGTGGACCCAGTCCTGAAGCCTCACTGAGAGCGTCCAAATGCTCGCTGAGCTCCATTGGATTTTGGTTGCCGAGCAAATAAATTGTTATGAGGTCGCACTCATTACACACAAAGTGCTTGCCACCAATGAACCACAATCACCTTGCTGATCTCATCAAGAAGCGTAAACCTTCACGCGAACTCCGGTCATCCTCGCAGCAGCGGTTTTTGGTTAACCATCGAACAAAGACGGCCACTGCATCGCGCGCTTTTAGATGCGCTTTTGCTGCCGTCTGCAACACTCTTGCTTCCTATATTAGGAAGCCACTAGAGCTGTGCACTTATGCACAAGCTAAATTGAACACTCATTGTTTTAGAACTGCTTTTTGTGTTGAGTTTGTTGTCCTTCCCCCACACCTCTGATCATCACGGTTGGCTATGTACGGTGTGAAAGAAGTTCAACATACACACATACTCACTGAGTGTGAGCATGGGGCTGGGTCTCTATAGCAATGACGTGAATCCCACAACATTGACTACATCAGAGGTGAGCATCGCGAGCATCATGCCGGGCAGAAAAAACACGGAAAGTTGGCGCAGGTGGTGCATCTGCCAATCATCTCAGTCAGTGAACCCATTGCACCTGCTGGGTCTCCTGTCAGCGAGCCTTCGACGCTTCACGTGACCTCAAAGCCCATCTAGCCTGGCAAATGGTGGTTGCTGCAAGGTTAGCCAGGCAATTCTTCTCGGTGACATATTTACAGCTAACGTAATAGGAAGTATTTATTATAAAAATAATACAAAAAACGTACAACACAATATCTCATTATAGGCACATATTTAATGGAAAATAATGTTAAGATAACGTTATATGTCTCTAGTAACATAACTAAAAGAAAAACAAATGAAAATTATTAACACCAACTAATTTATGAGAAAATGTTGTGCCTGACATGCAGGCTCAAAAGTGTAAATATTCCCAGTTACGGGTGCAGCCTGGGACCCTTAACTCAGCCCTCCCACCCATTGGGCGTTTTCATTACATCACAATTTAAATCGCAATTGGTTTCCGATGACATCATCCTGCACCATTGTGGAATAACAATGTTACAGCCCTTAAAAGGTGGAGATATCCTCCATCAGGAGATTCCACTTCACATTCCCTTTGCTTCTACCACTTTCCCGATCCTTCGAACACCGCGGGAGTCTGGAAATTAAATCTAAACTCAATAACAAAATAAGACAGACCTTCCTTTGAGAGAAGGAGTGAGAGGGAGCATGAGGCGGTCACAGGCATTCTGCTGGTACTATGTACAGGTAAAGGGACAGGCTGGTGCTCATTCTTACATAACCTCGCTATGCTCGTTTTAGATATGCTGCTAATATGCAATGTACATATGTATGTTGAAGTTATTTCACACCGTACGTAGCCAACTGTGCTAAATCGGAGGTCCGGCGATAGCACACTGGACTTGCGATCCAAAGGTCAGTTTTGTTCTCTCCGTGCGGCAATTGAAACAATTAACAGTCAAAACAACCCTACCCCTCTTCTGTCCACTCGTCAATATGAATGGGTACATGAGTTTGTAGCATATGGTGGGATAGTCTGAGTACTCCAGCCTTTTCCAAGCCATCTGATCAGCGTGGAAGAGGAGACCAAACACCTTCGAGAGGGGCTCTCTATAACTCGCACCAGTAAAGGCCGATTAGCACGGTTGACTACGTACGGTGCAAAAGAAGTTCAAGATACATACATAGAAAGGCCCTTCCATCAGCTGTGACCTCAAAGCAATTACAGGTGTGTTGCATCATTGTATTGCAGCGTGATATCATTACATTTACATGACGTCATTGTTTCTGAACATGGCTGATGATATCTGACATGAGTTCACTGTTCCTTCTATTTCCCGTTTTCCTTTTCCATTCGTAGGTTTTGATCAAAAACGGCAAGGAGGTGAACAGACACCCCCGAGTTCAATGGATGGGCAACCTGGCCACGTGCAATGCTTCCATTGTGATGCGCGAGGTGCTGTTGGAAGACTCGGCTCGATATCGCTGCGAGGTCTTCCGCATCCCCTCCTACAACGAGGGGGGCAGCGTGGTGGAGCTGCACATGATACCCTCCACAGGTGACCTACTGACTGAGTCATCATCGTCATCATCATCATCACCTACAACACTCCCCCTGGTGGCTAAAGCTACGATTTGAGGCCCCTTTGACAACCACCATAATATATGTTTTTAACAACAGTGTAAAAGAGCAACAACACATTTAAAACGCGGTTGAAATGTATTTGTTATGAAAATTATTTCATTTACATTTGATCTTAATCAGTTAGAGCAGTAACGTAATATTGCAACGAGGTACTACTACGGAGCTGTAGTGGCTGCATTTTGTGAAGACGGAGCGCCCCTATGGTGTTAAATGTTTCGAGACCGTGCGCATAATGATTATGTGATTAGGGCAAGAGGAGCCGCGATAGAACCCCTGGGTGTGACAGTGCGAGACAAATTGAATATTGGGGCCCCACCGATTGCCGCACCCCCTGAGCTGATAACGTAGTTACTACATCACTGCCTACTACACCACTAACTACCAACCACTGCCAACATCATAATTGTCTTCATTCCTTCATCTCTCGCCCTTAATAAAAACAGGTCTGTCGACAGACCTGTTCTTCACCTGAGGACGGCTGCTTGCGTTGTGGCCGAAACGTCGTGAGAATTATTTTATTATGTTTTATTTTTATTATTTTATTATTTCCATTTTACGTGACTTTACCAAAAGAACCAAGAAGATGAATCCCTGCAGTCACGAAAGCTTTAAATCGAAATTTAACCAGGCTAGAGTCTACATTATAGACTGCCAGTATGCTCACTGAGGTTAATAATCAGGCTACAGTCTACATCATAGACTGTCAGTATACTCACCCAGCTTAATAACCATTGCTACAGTCTACATTATAGACTGCCAGTACACTCACCAAACATAATAACCAGGCTACAGTCTAAATTATATACTGCCAGTACACTCACTCCGATTAAGAACTAGGCTACAGTCTACATTAATGTTTTTTATTATTTTTATTCACTTTATTTATTTTTTCTACGTGACTTTACCGAAAGAACCAAAGAATATGAATTCCTGCAATCACGAAAGTTTTAAGCCAAAATCAATGAGGGTTACCACATAGTGCACTTTCAGATACGCTTCTGCGGCCAACTGGAACGCTGTTCCTTCCGATATTAGGAAGTCACCGAAGCTTTGCATTTTATATCATCTAGATTGAAAGCTTATTTGTTTAGAACTGGTTGTTATTGTGTTTAAGTTGTTGTCCTTCCCCGCACCTCTGATTAGCATGGTTGGCTATGTACGGTGCAAAATAAATTCAACTTACAAACAATAACACAATTATGGTAACAGTGGAGAAAAACATATGAACATTAAGATAAACAATAATTTTTAATTTTACGTTCAGACCTAAGCAATGTTGTTGTCACGTGTGTACCTGTTCTCGTGAAGATCTCATCATCTACGCACCAACTGAAGAGACCACCAATGTTGGAAACGATGTTCTTCTGAAGTGCTCCTACTTCTGCAAAGGCCCCAGGGATAAGTTCACGCTGGTGCAGTGGTGGAGAATTCGAGACGGCAGGGACGAGAAGGTAGTGTCTTCGCGTGGTCAGATAAGGGAATCTTGAACTTTATTGACATCAGAGTTAAGGTTCGTGTGTTTGCAACTTGTCACAGAGGTTCACGGTTCGATGCACTGACCTTCCTGATTAATAATGTAGTTGTATTCACTCTTTTTTGTTCCGATGATGTACGTGTACATTGTAAAAATTAAGCTGGAAGAAAAAATTAAATCACTTTCGGTACAGATCCTTCCACAAGGCCATGCCATGGGGGTGTGTGGCACAATTTAGTGCCAGCGTGCGGTCATATCGCTACGGTTCTCTAAATAAAATTTACTCTGAGCCGCTTGCACGTTCTGAGATTCAGAGGAGAGCGGGACACCTACACCCTGCAACTTGCAGTCAACTTGGAAAAGGGAAGGGTTAAGTGAACACATTTGCTATCGCTACTTTACAGTAGCCATAAATGGATAGCTCAACGATGTGGCTTATCACGTTGACATTTATAGCAGCCAAATACTCTAAACGCATGATGTGGATCCTAAATGTGGAGGGAACACCGGAGGACCTGGAGAAAAAAGCATGCGACCACGGGGAGAACATGCAAACTCCAAATATACATGCGTCAGGGTCAGGATCGAACCCATGACCTCTTGTATACAAAACGAGGTAGTTAACATCTCTCCACTGTGGCGAGTTTTGTGCACCTTGCAATTCTCAAGGCAACATTGAGGGTTCTAATAAGATGAGCGGCGTCCGGGTCGGACCATAGTGGTTGCTTGCCTTAAATATCAATTTATTTAGTGGGTGGGGTAGGGGGTTGTGTTTGTATAAATATTTGTACGTAGGTATTAATGTTTGGGGAGCAGTATGTAGCGGGTAGCGCACTCGGCTATGAACCCGGCGTCCCGAGTTTGATTCCAGCTATAATCTAAACCGGTCCTGGGCCTCTCCTAGGTCGACTCCGCCTCAAATAAGTACCTGGTGTGCTGCGTAAACATCGCCGCTGGGGAGACAAAGGCGGCCGGGCGTGCTGCTAGCCACCCATTCCCTCGTGTGCTGTGCCAGCCTTCATAGGTGCTCGCTAACAGTAATTGCCCCAAAAGTCTGTTAATGTTCTGTGTATGTTGAACTTCTTTCCCACCATACGCAACCGACCGGGCTAATCAGAGATGCAGTGTTTATTCGTGATTTAAAAAAATTGCTTTTGGAAAAATGCCCAGGCAGTTTCTCGCCAAGGATATGTTATGGTTACGTTTCCTTGGCAAATATTTGATACGATGGTAAAATTGTTCAATTTTGAACAAATGATTGTCAAGTACAAGCATGATCAGAGATGTCCATCCCTCTGTCTGAGTCAAAAAGGTCTTCACAAAAAACGGCCAAGATCACGTCGTCGACTCGCGGTTCGCGTGGCGTGGGAACGAGACATCATGCGACGCGTCCATTTCCATAAAAAACGCAAGCCTCAGTGACGTGGCCCAGTACCGCTGCGAGGTCACTTACATCCCGTCGTACAAACAAGGCAGGAAGGTGATGCGTCTCAACGTGCAGGCGCCACCAGGTTCGTCCGCACTCTCCCTGCATGGATGGTGGGCGTTTTATGACCATTTTGATGATGATGGTAGCGATGATGACAAGCGACAATAACGTACGGTGGTGTTTTTATTTTTCCTTTTTGTGCAGATACACCAATTAAAACAACGCCCAGAATAATTCCAACAAACAACTACCCGATTCCAGATGAAAATCCACTGATCACAGTTATTGTCGTTATAGTAGTATTGCTTCTTCTCATTGCTTGCACTTTCCTGGGCAAAAAAAGTTTACAACAATGCCGGTGAGTTCATCGCCTCTGTTTCTTTCTCCTTTCTTAGTCATCTTGCCAACCACCATCCAGTGCACTCCTCCAAACCTCACCTCATCCCGATAGCTGACTTAGTTTGTGTCTGACTCCGTTTCTCCTTGCCTCCATGTATGTGTTTTGCACTTCTTTTGCACCATACGTAGCCATTCGTGCTTATAAGAGGTGCGGGGAAGGACAAAAAGCTAAACACAAAAAGCAGTTCTAAAGAAATCAGTTTGTCAATCTAGATTATTTAAAAGTGCATAGCTCCAGTGGCTTCCTAATATCGGAAGGAAGAGCATTCCAGACGGCCTCAGAAGCGCATCTGAAAGCGTGCAACGCAGTGATCATCTTTGATGGCTAGCCAAAAGCCACTGTGGGGATGACCGGTGTTTAAGTGATGATAGTTTATGCTCCTTGACGAGATCAGCAAGGTTTTGTGGTTCATTTGCGGGGAGCTCTTTGTGTGTAATGAGTGCTACTACCTGTTAACATATTCGTTTAGCAAACGGAAGCCATTCTCCTGCATCCGAGGGTTAGTTGTGTAAATGTAGCATTGAACCCCGAGCTGGATGTCCTGTTCAACTCCATTTCAGTAAATGACTTGGGTTTACACGAGTTTCGATTCTCAAATTTTCATTTATATTCATGTCCCTCCTTGTTACGGTCAACATCATCCTTCTCATTGCCCTTTGTTAGACTTCAGCATATTCACGTACAATTTCAATAGTTCCAGCAAGAATGTGAATGCGTTTTCCCCCCATACACAATCGTTGTGGTGGTGCAATAACCAATTGCATATAAAGAATGCACAATCCTGTAATTCATGGTTGTTATTGAGATACACATTTGACAAATTTGACAATTTGTATATCTGCCGAGATTACTCATGCTTCCTGGCGATGCTGATGGTAGCCAAATTTAGATTTAGAAGACGCTGCTATGGAAGCTTTCGTTTCCCTATGATTTGGGCGCCAGATGTTAACTACCTCGCCTGGTATGCAGGAGGTCGTGGGTTCGATCCCAACCCTGACGCCTGCTCCATATTTGGAGGTTGCATGCTCTCCCCGTGATCGTGTGGATTTTCCTCCGGGTCCTCTGCTTTCCCCCTCCACAATAGAAACATGTTTTCAAAATATTTGGCTGATATAAATTTCCGCGTGGCAAGCCTCTTCGTTGAGCTATCATTTGTGACGGCAAGGTCGCTTCTGAAATAGCTATATAGCTAAGTGGCCCTTACCTGGTAAAATACAAAAAAGTTTCCTTTTAGTTTATTTCGCGCTCATGGCCAATTCACAAGGGGCACTACACGCCAGGTTTGGGTGAGGACAGAAATGTCCGGAGAATGGGGGAATTACAAGCCAATACTCAGTAGATAACAGTGATAGCTATTGTGGATAGGTGAAGGAAGGACCTTACGATTGTGTACAGAGAGAGGTTTGGAAAACAAGGTCAGTAGTATTAAGTATTTAGGTGCAATAGTAAGTGGGTGGGGAGAGTGTGGGGTGGAGGTAAGAAAAGGTGGCTCGACAAATGGAGAGAGGTTCCAGAAATTGTATGAATTTCAAATATGGCACTAAAATTGAAAGATAAACATCTATAAGAGTTACTACGATCAGAACCGGCCCTAGACCTTTTGGGGCTGTTGTATATGTTGGATTATGAAATTTTGATAAAAATAATAAAAATTAATAATTTTCCAAAAAATGCGCAAATCGCATTAATTATGTTAATGTGTGTAATTATATGCATAAATTATGATAATCACGGTGATAATCGTAGTAATTTATGCGGAAGCTTGCAATTATGTTAATGTGTGTAGTTATGATAATTAGGCTTAGTTTCGTTTATCCAGAGTTATATCAATCGGAATAACACGATTATCATTGATTAAACATTTACCGATTATCTTAGTGTGTTTTATGTTATTTTAGGTCTCCAGTTCCAGATCTCATCACAGGATACAGTTCTCAAGAATAAGACAGTTTTGCATGGACTCGGAAGGAACACTCGATATGCTTCTGTGATAACAATTTTATTCTAAACAACATGTGACATTCTAACATGCAGGTCAAACATGCGTTAATAAATTCATGAGCAAGATTATGCAATTAACGAAAATGGATAACTAAAAATACTTCTTCATTTGCGAGATTATGCATTTAACTAAATTGAATAACTAAAACTCTTATGCATTTGCGAGATTATGCATTCAACTAAAATGAATAACTAAAACTCTTATGCATTTGCGAGATTATGCATTTAACTAAAATGAATGAATAAACACTTATGCATTTGCGAGACTATGCATTTAACTAAATTGAATAACTCAAAACTCTTGTGCATTTGCGAGATTATGCATTTAACGAACTGAATGACTAAAAACCCTCCTAACAATCATAACCTCTACCTTTCCACCAGGCATCTCATTAGTTCCCCCATGTATCAATCACAATCGGCGATAATAAAAGCACTTATTGTATCCCAGAGGCGAAAGTATATGTCAATAGATTCATCGGCAAGTATAAAATCCTTTCAACGGAATGTTTGAGATCATGGTGGGTGAGGGCGTGTTTGGTGGTGTGAGAGCGAATCTGGCTCTGTTTTAATTAATGCTTCGGCGAGACTCTATGACAAAGGAAACTGGTTTGACAAGATATTCTCTCTCTGTGTACGGGTCGATTCGTAATGAGGATTTCGAGAGTTTGAGTTTGCCTCGACGAGTCTATTGATCGCCTATGTGATGAGCGGAACAAGGGAAAGGCACGGAAAACAACCTCACTCTTATAACCGACGGACTCTTAATCACTCGATGGGCCACGATTCCTCATGGCCAGCTGATGGTTCATGTAATTGATAATCATTCTTCCGATAATTGTGTAGGGTTGATATGATATGATGGTAAGGACGAAATAGATAGTCTCACAGGGGGGTGGGCGTCGACGCGAGCGCGTGTGAGCCTATGTGAGGGAAGTTGTGGGTACGAACGACTTTCGGAGAAGGGCCCTCTGGCTGGCGCGGCTACGGTGATCGGCTGCTTCCGACTCCTCCCTCGGCTGAGCCCGTACGAAGATTGACGGCGCGGCCGCGCTCGTTTGCGTGGTCAGGCGAGCACCTCGGCGTGGTGGTGGCAAGGGAGCTGGCTCGTTCACTCGTGTGCGGCAGGCGAGCACCTCGGCGATGCATGTCAAGGCGATGCACGTCGCCACCCCACGAGCCTCGTCCTTCTGGATGACGAGAGCTTCTTCGTTGGCGGCGACGAGGAGAGATGGCTGTAGCCCTGGAGATCTCTGGTGGGGGCCTTAGCCCGGAGACGAGATGAGATGTAGGCCGGAGCTCGTGAAGATCTGTGGTGGAGCCAGAGCCCTTGACGATCTGGTGGGGGCTGAAGCCCCGGAGACGAGATGGTGGGGGCTGAAGCCCCGGAGACGAGATGGTGGGGGCTGAAGCCCCGGAGACGAGATGGTTTGAATGGATTTTGCCTTTGCTTATATCGGGAAAATCCACTAGTGTTTCCGAGTTTGTTCAAAGGCTGTGTCATATAACTTTTCTCTTTGTTTGTGTGCGTTGTGGGCGTGTTCGTCCGTTCGTTTATTAGCTTTGAAGACACAGCTGTGTAATTATTCTGGAAGGAGGGGTGGGGGCCTCGCGACGGCGCCACCTAAGTTATCCATTAACCAGACCGACGATTCGCGTTCGCATCGAGTTATAAAAAAAGATATTCTAATCCATGTTTTTGTTTCTGAATAATATTTGTCGCTAAAACCTACGCGTTAAGCGAGCTTAATTATTCCCTCCCTTGCTCTGGGCGTTATCTTTGTCTCACACAGCTTAAGTTGTTTTGGTTTGGAAGTTGAAATGCGCTTAGTTCCATTATGCCCAAGTTATGCCGAAACCGTGTTCACGATGTTTCATCGTGACCCGATCTCCCATGGAAATGTTATTTGCTCGCGTGTGCAAATCCTGCTGTCCGTGTTGGAACGCCCTGCACGTGTTTTATTTATTAATTTCCTTTCTCGAGTTGTTGCCCGCGCGCTACGATCTTTATGGGGCCATTTCCTGGCTTTGTGCCTGCGTGTGGAGATCCTCTTCGGGAAAACAAAGACGGCCGTGTTGCTCGCTTCTCATGGGGTGTTGCGTTTGGTTAATTATGAGAGACTTCTCCGTCCTTAGCTCCTCTAGGAGATCCACTTTAATTCCGTACTTATTATTTGACTTCTTGTGATTATTTAATCTGATATCCCGGCTAGGAATTTTTGTTTTGGAGCGACCCAAGCCATAATTATTCTTTGATGCTTCGGCCCGGCCGTGTCGAACTACCAAGTGTACATAATGTCCGTATGGAATTTAACAATGGTGGGTCGCGACCCTGGTGACTGTAGTCTGGTTTCCAATTGGAGTGAGGATAGATACTGTTTGCTTAATCTTCATGGCTAAGTTGGTAACTTGTTTATCTAACATGGTTCAAAACCCGTCTGTGCTTTTTGTCGTCAATGTTGTTTCCTTTGTTAAGAATATAATTATATATTTCGTGGCCTGGTTTTGTATTTATCAAAGGGTTTTTTTTTGCAATGCTTTTTAACGAAAGGATGTCCTCCTGACCCTCCGCCTGCCATTCCCCCCTCCCTTGTTCCTCTTGTGTGAAATTAGGGGAGTTTTTATGACCTTTATTGCCCTCTTTCATGCCCTCTAGCCCTTTGAGGTGAGGTATGCGCGCATCTGTGGAAGTGTGGGGGCGTGTTCGTTCCACGTTGCCCCGTGTCTAAAAAAAAATAATTATATATGTTGGCAGAATAATTCTTTAAAAAAATAATAATATAAAAAAAATAAAAAGGGGGTATATACACAAAACAGGGCCCTAAGCAAAATTTGGTTGGAGGCCCCTTTGATGTATGATTTTTTTCACCCACTAGCTAGCAGTGACTCTAGGGGGCCCTCTGCTGGCCACAGGGCCCTTTGCAATTGCAAGGGTCGCTTAGTGGCTGGGCCGGCTCTGACTACGATATTATTTTAATAGTATATATGTTGTTTGTCTTTTAACGGTGATTCTTAAATAATGTATTTAAGTTGTAATATTAGGTTAGTTGCACATATTACGTGCTCTTCAGTTTGCTGGGTGAAGAATTTCCAGGGGTAATACTTGAAGAACTAATCACTGCCCTTCGCAGTATGAATAGGAAACGACTCTTTGACCAGACGGAATAACTGTGACCATTTATGAAAATATAATTAAATGAATCAATGTGAACAGCTGTCAGAACAACCCTAGAGGATCTCTTTACCGAATATTGATTTGAAGTTTTCATGACTGCAGGAATCCATACTCTTTGGTTCTTTCGGTAAAGTCATGTAGGTATAAAATAAAATACATCACGACGTTTCAGGCGCAACACAAGCATCCTTCATCAGTTGTGAAAGCATCTTTACCAAATGTTTGCAGACAAATGAAATACAGTAAGCAATAATTAATGCTTACATCCTTCCCCTTTACAAAAAGGGAGAACATCAGACTTGAAAAAGTACAAATCCATTTGCATAATTTTGCACGCACTGACTTCGACAATCGATTATCATATGGTAATTAAGAATGGAATTCTTAGAGACAAACATTTTCTGTGAGCTATCAAGCTGGATCTAGAAAAGGGTTTTCAACCATTGTGACACGTATGCTCGCAGTTATATCCTAGAAAAGATAATGTATTTCATATATCACTATGTCTAGCTTGTATGCGTTATGTTGCTCGATTAGTGTAAACTGTTGGGAGTTATTCAAGCATTGATCAGCTTGGTCATTACAGCAACCAGTGGAAATGAACAATGACTTAACTAATTACACAATTTTGTATGTTTATACCTGGTATGCATCGCGGCTGTGTTGACAATCGCTTATGATACATTGTCTTTGTATGTAATTGGCCAATTGAAAGACAACGAAGGGAACAAAGGAACAACCCAGATCGTAAGTACATTTACACACATGTATTCAATTACAGTGTGTTTGACATGTTTTATATACAATGTGATGCTCCATATGTGTGATCTATACACCCACTCCATGTGTGTAATCTCCATGTATGTTATCTATACACTTAATCGATGTGTGTGATCTTTACACCTACTACATGTGTGTGATCTATGCAACAACATTCACTATTCGCCACTAAGTGGCTGTGACGTCACCATGGCTCTAGGCTAAGTGCACTTTAAGGTCATGTGAAGTGTCGAACGCCCACTGGCAGGAGGTCACGGGACAGACCCAGGTGCCATGGGTTGACTGACTCAGATGACTAGCAGATGCACCAGCTGTGCCGCCTACTGTGCCAACTTGCTGTCTTTTAGCCGCCTGATGCTCCGCTCGTTGTTGTGAGTGTCACGCCTCTGCCCTCAGTTGTTGCTGTAGGGCAACTGTCTCCAACTGCCCAATACCGTCCTTCACGAGCCTCCTCCATAGAGGCTGATCTTGACACCGCTGGTACCTGTCATCTGCAAGTCCACTCAGCTCCGCATCCTCTCGTATCACATCATTCTATCTCTTCTCTACCCCATACCGCGACCATTTAACGCCCTCTATCTAGGCGAACAAAAGCTGTTTAGGCATGCCAGTGGCTGGGCATGCGGGCTACATGACTCAGCTAATGCAGGCTTTCCTACCAGAGGAGCTTACCGATGGGATTTTGGCCAGATGATGATTTGTGAGCTCACATAATCCAGCCTGGTTAAACCCAAGATGGATCGTAGGCTGGCCAGCATTAATGTTTCTAACCGGCATAGATGTTGTATTAGAGGGGTTCATGTTTTGCAAGCATCGAGAAGGCAGAACATGACTGGCCAAGAAGACCGGAAGCTTCATGTGGAGGGACAGACCAGGTAGCTTCCACAAAGTGTTACACAGCCAACGAAAAGATAAGAAGTTCAACATAGCATTTAACTTGGAAGATGATCTCTGCTCGGTGCTTTTACTGGTCTCAGATTCTACATTGCCCCTCGTACTCTGTCTACAGATAAAACCTCAGCCAATTACTCACAACGGGTGGCTACTTCTGGCAATACTTGAGGATGTGCAGCCCCAACGGGGTCATCTCCAATTTGCCCCACGATGTTGTCTGGGCTAATTCCCCTCCCCCAAGACCTCACAGAAATAATCTGCAAACTTGTAGACCAGTTACTGGGGCTCGGTGATCGGATCACCATACTTTCCCTCAAGGATGGTGATAGGTGAGGTGCTGCAAGATACCTTTTAGATGGAATTAAAGAGTGATTTGTGATTGTGGGCTACCGAGGCAGATTCCATCTCATCAGCACCCCGTGCCCACCACTCATCCTTGCAGCACTGCACAACTCCCTGAATGTTGGATGTTGTCGATGGGAGTGGGCCTGTCATGTGCTCTTAACCAGCTTGAACGCCTCTTTCGACCAGGGTCTCTGGGGAGGTCTGGACTGCATACGCAATGCAGCAATTGCAGCTGCATGAGCCACAGTCCTGAACATCACCCATTTCCCTTCAGCATCAGGAGGGGGAGGGGGGGGATGCAAAACGCAGCTGCAATCGATGTTGAAATTCCTGGTTGCAACTATCCTCAGCTAGCTAAGGCCAGGCTACTGTGGGTTTTAATAGGGTCTTAGGTGGATTCCCACCACTGGAGTAGAAGAATGGCAGGCGCAACTTACAGATGATCAGCCGATGGTCAGTGGACAGATCAGCTCCACGGTTGGTACTGGTTTGTTGTCCTTCCCCCACATCTCTACTTAGCACGGTTGGCTACATGCAGTGCTAAATAAATTCAACATGTATACATACATGCTTAACTCCAGCAAACTCCTACTATTATTATTATTGAACTGATCTGGCCCAGACCTTCCAATAACTCTGGCCCAGGTGGAGAAGATGACAACCTTCCCGTCGTCTCCACTGTTACGTGCTTGTCAGGGCCAAACTTACCGCAGTGTGGGGCCGGCACTACATTTGTGCCATCTAAATATAGAGGGCCTGTCAAGGCCCAAGTGTGACTTCCTGAGATGTTTCCTCGAACTCCACAAAGTCGACGTGCTCCTGCTCCAAGAACCCATACAGCCAATGACGAAAGAGCCTCAAAAATGTATTTCCCTGGAATTATGCTAGCTGCCAGCCACCACCATCCCAAGCACAGACCAGCAACGTACGTGAATCCCCATCTCAAGGACCTCATCACAACGAACCCATCATCAAAATCGAGGATGTATCTGTCATAAATGTATATAAACCTCCAATCACTGCATGGAGCCCAAACATGCTGCCTACCGTGACCCATCTCGCGGTTTTCGTTGGTGACTTCAACAGCCATCACACGGCCTGGGGCTATGCAACCGATGAAACCTGCGGAGAACAAGTTATCGACTGGGCAGTAACTGGTAACCTATTCCTCCTGTTATATGCTAAAGATCGAGGCACCTTCCATTCTGCACGATGGAGGAATGATTCAAACCCTGACCTGTGCTTTGTGTCATGTGCCAGTTCAGGTGAACCGCTGCGTGCATCCAGAATGGCTCTAAACAATTTCCCAAAGAGTCAGTACAGGCTAGCCTTGGTGTATATCGGGGTTGAAATCCCGATGATCACGTCCACCCCTGTACCTAAATATAACTTAAGACAGGCCAACTGGGAACCTTTTACTGAAGATATCAAGCGCATTGTCTCCCGGATTTCACCAAAGCCAGAACGCGGCCCACTCACGCATCCCACAGGTTTACCGGGTAGAATACACTTCATGCTAGAACAAACAAAGCGAGTCTCTGCTCAAGAAATACACAGAATGAGGAAACCTAGAATGTGGAAAAGCTCTTCTGGACTCCCTAAAAAAATCCATAAAACAAGGGTGGACAGAAGCGATGAAGTCACTAGATTTCACGCACTTAATCCATAAAGTCTGGCACCTCCTGAGACACCTCGGAGCGGCACCACCACCAACAAACAAGACGGCCAATGTGCCCATTAATGCTATTGCTGTACAAATGCTACTGAATGGAAATATCCCTACAGATCGGGACACAAGACAGCAAGTGAAGGCACAACTCCATCAATCAATTGCAGAATATGCACCGATAACAGCCTTATCATCCCCCTTTACTGAAGAAAAGGTTATTAATGCCATGAAAGCCACCAGATCAGGAAAAGCCACATAATTAGGTGGGATTTATCCCGAGTTCCTGAAACTCCTTGGCCAAAAAGGATGCTGCTGGCTTGCCAGATATTTTGCGGACATAATGGCCTCGGGCAAAATTCCGACAAAATTGGCAACAAACAAAGGTCATTTCCATTCTGAAGCCTGTAAAATCAACTGCAAACCCAAATAACTTTCACCCCATATCCCTGCTTAGTATGGTGTGCAAACTCCTCGAGAGGATGCTACTGACTCACATGTCACTGATCTTTATGGAGGCTAAACCAACTAAATAGGCTGGTTTCCACCCTAGCCACATTACATGTGACCAAGTGCTGTCACTCAACACGCACATTGAAAATAGCTACCAGCGCAAGGATATCACAGGAGCTGCTTTTATCGACCTATCAGCAGCATGCGACACAGTATGGCGGGAGGGCCTCATGCTAAAGGTGTTGAAGCTCATCAGATGCCAGCAGTATTGCTCCGGATTTTTTTTACATGTATATAAGTGCTCTGTCACTATCCGCTGCAAATTTGGCAATGCCGATGACCTGGCACTTGCCATCCAAAGATGGATAAAACGTGTGGTCCAAAACGACCTTTGCGAAGTCTTTAAGAAACACGAAATGTACTTCAAGTGCTGGAGGCTCTGTCCAAACCCAAGGAAAACTGCCATTACAACATTCCACCTAAACAATGCAAACCCCGACCATAAATTGGCCATCACTTTCTGTGGCGAAAAAGTTCATCAGAAGTACCCAAAATACATCGGTGTAACTCTCCACGGGAGCCTCACCTTCCGCAAACACCTGCATAATACTGCTGTACAAACAAAATCACGAGTTAATCTCGTGCATAAACTGGCCGGAACAACATGGGGAGCAAACACAATGACGAATTAGATGGCCATCACAGCACTAGTCTTCTGCATGGCAGAATATTGTGCCCAGGCTTGTAACAAAAGCGTGCACACGAAACTGGTGGATATGCAGCTAAATGCAGCCATGAGGATCATCGGAGAGTCGCTAAAGAGCACAACGTTGCTGTGTCTTCTGGTCTTCACATATATCGCTCCTCCGCAGCTCTGCTGCAATGCCGCATGTGTGAGGGAGTACCGCAAGGCCATCAGAAATCCAAACCTACCAATAAACAAGGACATCTCCATGCCACCACCACACATGCTCAAATGCAGAAAACCTATCTGGAAATCTGAAAAGAACCTCCATGACTATAACACCATCAAAGCACGATGGGGGAACGCCTGGAAAAACACCAACCTGCTACAAAAATCCATTTTCAGCGATCCCTGAATCCTCCAACCTGGAACTGACCTATCGAGGAAGATATGGTCCTCCTTGAATCGGATACGGACACTCGATAGAAGATGTGGACACTTTCTCCTTGAATTAAAAATTTACGAGAGTCCAGTTTGTGACTGTGGTGCGACATCTCAGACTGTGCAACATATCCTTAACGGCTGCCTAATCAGATCATTCAGCGGCGATCTGAAACATATCCACACAGTTACTCCTGAGGAAGTCGGATGGATATCAAATCTCGGGATAAATTTGTAATCTGTTGCAATACCCAAAAATGCCATACGAAAGAAAAAGACTCCGACCTAGGTGTCTGCGTCATGACCCACTTGGCCACTGAAGTCACCCAACAGGATGACTCTATCCCAAGGGGCCACTTTAGCTAGTACCTGTGACAGGAGGTCATAGAAGGCACCTGACTCATCAGCCTTGTCTCCATCCCTCCACTGATGTTCATCTTCGGTAGGGTCTAAGCATCCGTGACCATTCCTCACCTCTTGGTGATAGGGAAGCAAGCCCACAGCAGCCTAGGACTCATAAATTTCCACATGTCACCTCCGCGCTCCCACACCTCCTTCACTATTTTGTTCAAAAGAGGTGCTATTCCCTTTTGATTGGCAGATTCCTGCCCCGAGTGGCAAACTATCCACCCCTCATGATGACCGGCACCAGAGTCAGTGCACTGGACCTCCCGTATTCCACAGAGGTCCAGGTAATACCGGTCCATCTCCTGACAGAGGAATTGCAGCCTCTCCTCCGCAACAATTCATCTATACACCCACTTAATGAGTGACAAAGACACCCACGTCATTTGTGTGATCTATACACAACCACTCTATGAGTGTGATCTATACACCTACCCCATGAGTGTGATCTAGACACCCAGTCGATTAAAGATATAGACACTAACTTCATGTGTATGATCGAGACACCCACTCCATATATGATCTGGACACTCCATGTAGGATCTGGAGACCCATTGTGAACAATATGAATACGTGCTTAATACCCTGGTTATGTTGGGTTAGCTGGTAATGTCATGGATTGAGGCACTCATACCTATGTCTTGCCAACGTAGGATTCCCAAGATCTATTGGGGGCACTGACTATTGAAGACATACATCTTTTAACTGTGATACTTCTCGAAGTGATGATGATGTCATATGGGGTAATAGTAATATGTTATAGTTTGATGTTAAATATAGATAATTGCATTGACTAAATTGAAAACTCATTACTTGTGAAGTGCATTTTGTGTTTAGCTGTTGTCCTTACCCCACACTTCTGATTAGCATGATTTACTACGTACAGTGCGAAAGAAATTAAATATACTTACATATTGCTGTACTCCTATGCTCATTCGTTTTTGCACTGAGCGGTGTGTACATATTCTTTGGGTCTTTCGGTAAAGTCACGGAGATAGGTTCAAAAAAATAATAACATAAACGAAAAAACAACGACGTTTCAATCACAACACAAGCGATCGTCATCAGGTGACGATTGCTTGTGTTGTGATCGTTTATTTTTATTATTATTTTAACCTATCTACGTAACTTTACTCAAAGACCCAAATAATATGATTTCCTGCAGTCACGAAAGCTTTAAGTCAGGATTCAGTGTGTACATGTAGCCACGTAGCCCACGTAAGCAGTCTGGCATGGGAAGACCCTAATCCAGAAGTGGATTGACAGACGTACAAGCAAGGCTGCACCTGTCTCAGTATGGGTACTTCTTTTTTCAGCTCCAGGAAATGGAGGACGTAATGAGGAGGTACCGGAGGGAATTCCGTTGCAGTTAAGGCCCTCGTCTGAAGGTATTATTTTATTTATTGGTTTAATCAGACGCGTGGGGAGATGATACACTTAACAACACCACCTCGGTGTCCTTAACAACAACACTGTCCTTAACAACAATACGGCGTCTATAACAACAAGACAATCCCCTTAACAACTGCACGGTGCCCGTAACAACATGATGCCCTAAACAACAACACCGTGTCCTTAATAACCACATGGTGCGCTTAACAACCACATGGTGTCGTTAACAAGACGGTTTCCTTAATAACAACACGATGCCCTAAACAACAACACGGTGTCCTGACCAACAACACAGTGTCCTTAACAACAACACAGTGTCCTTAACAACAACACGGTGTCCTTAACAAAAACACGGTGTCCTTAACAACAACACGATGCCCTAAACAACAACAGTGTCCTTAAGAACAACACAGTGTCCTTAACAACAACACGGTGTCCTTAAAATAAGGTGGTGCCCTTAACAAACGATGGACATGGTTCCCTTAACATTAACATGATGCCCTCTGATGTTCTCAGGTGCTGAGTCTCAACGTGTCGAGCTCATGAGCGCGAACACCGAGAAAGAAGAGGCGACATCCTGGCGGGTCAGGGGGGGATTACCAACCGGCCCTGACCAGCAGGGTGAAGTATGATGAAAATAGGACTGCAAGACGCCTCTGCAGCAGTGGGAAACCCCGAGCATTTTTAACCATAATTTATCACCTCCAGCCGGCGTTTCCCACTTCAGAGGCGTCTTGCAAGGCTACTTTCACAATGTTTCCTCACGGTGAAATGTGGTAAAGATTTGTTGAATTAATCTACATCTCAGGGGCCATTAGATAATATTCATTAGTGATATAATGCCACTAATTTCCAAGAGGTTTGCCCAATTTGAAAATAATGCTGCCTCGCTAAATCATTTACGTTTATATATGTGAAAAACAAATTTAGTTGCGTCTGAAATTAACGCTAAAAATGTACGTTGCATTACAGTACAAATATTATCGATATTAATTCGTCATCTTCATCATCAGCCGTGATCTATCAATGAATGAATAAAGGTTCTACCCCTAAGCCATCAGTCACCATCTCTCAGGGTCTGCCAGATGCAACTATCCATCCTGGAGTTGCACACCAGCTGCTCATTGTGCTTCGACTGCCACTCTGGCACTATTCTTCATGATGTGTATGTATGTTGACTTTCTTTCGCACCGTACCTAGCCAACCGTGCTAATCGGAGATGCGGGTCAAGGAAAACAAACAATACAAAAAGCAAATGTAAAGACATGCGTTTTCAATATAGATGATGTAAAAGTGTGTCGCTCCAATGCTTCATAATATCGGCAGGAAGAGCGTTTAGGCCGTAAGGTGAAGACGTTTTACGTTTAATCCCGTTCCCATATATGGGGCACTAAATTATTTTCATTCTAATAAAAAGATATATTATTTTTGGGCGTGAAAATAAAAGTTCTCCATGTCTAATCCTGCAGTTTATTTTTATTACTGTCGGCAATATTTCTTTCCTCGCGTAATTATATTTTGATCATCAGTGATGAGGCTTCGCGGAACAATCGTCACGTGCTTCCCGCTAGACCAATAAGGTGGCCACTTTTTGGGACGAGAGGTAAACATTAGTCCAAGATGTCTGCGCCCTTGTTGTCAATATCGAGTAGTGAAGAGGAGGAAATTATGGCCAGACCTCCTTCAAAAGTCCGTAAAAAGTATTTTAAACAATGCTAAATGCATCTCACGTCCATAAAGAAAGAAGAAACAAAGGATTTTACACGCACACGGTGGGATACATTCAGAAACTGCGTCAAACGGTTGCTTTTTTTGCAAGGTGAGAATCGGAGAATAGCAGAAACATACAAACATTGTCTAGAAATCGAGTTTGACAATGTTCCCGAAGACGCTGGATTTCACTCCACTTGCTACAGGCGTTTCATTGACAAAAAGCGCTTGGGTGCGGCCGAGAAACGGGCCACACAGCGTCCTGAAGCTCAAGATCAAGGCCAGTCTGTGCCATCGGGTAGTAACGTTAGTATCGCTGCAGTTGATTGTCCCGCAAAAAAACGTAGGTCCAGGACCGGCCTGCCAGTAGCTTGTGCTGGACCTGTGCTTTCTGCCTTGTGCATAATTTGTAAGAAAACGGACAAGTATATTACTGTGGGAGGCAAACGCCAGAAGGACCATCTTTCACAGGCAGAAACGTCAGCAGGTAGGTAAAAACAAAACACACACACAAACACACGTTTGAACTTTTATTCCCTTATGCTGGGTACCATGGCTAACTTTCAATTACAATTACATAATTTATGTAATGTTTATTTTACAGTCAGAGACAGATTTGCATTGTTTTGCATACAGCTACAGCCAGAACACTCAATATTGTTTAACTCTTAACACAGTTTTTTATTAGTTTAATTAGCTTTTATGTATTTATTTACATGCAATTTGCTGAAAGCTGCTGAGATGAAGGAAGACACTAGCATTCTTGTGCATATTCGAGACAAAGACTGTCTCTGGAGGTGCGAAACCACAAGTCCTGTTATAGACAGTACACCAGGTTCTTGACAAAGTCTAGTACATCAGTTACTGTGACCTCAGAAGAACAGTGAGTTAGCAATATTTTATATTAATAAATATTAATTAATAATTCCCTCACATTTTCACATTTCAAAAGTAGGAGGTTGGCCCGTGATTTCCCCCAGCTGGTGTTTCACTCCCCCAAGAAGCGCAACATAAGTGAGATGGTTTTCGTTGAGACATTGTCTGCAGATAAGCTGATAGACAGGCTACCTCATCCATCAGGTACAGAAACAACGGAGTCAACTGAGGTAACTAGCGAAAGTGACTGTGAAAACAGGGCTAGTGCAAAAGCTGGTCCACAAAGACCAAGTTCAATGGCCTCCATCAATACTGCAGAGGACACGAGGACACTTTACAGTGCGGCATTAATATTAAAGATGCTTCTGTGTGACTCTCCCGGTATGAAATGCCCGTGGCCACCCACATCAGATGACCTAAATGTGAGCGAGGCAAAATCTGTCGTTCCAATTGAACTGTACAATCTGATTTCCTGGATTATTGGTGCAACTGAGGAACCAACACTGGCCTATTATGTTGATATTTCAGATGATTTGAACCTAAAAGTGATATATATCTGTCAATACATTGTGTATCTTGCATCTAAGAGTCGGAGGCAGACCCCTAAATCATTGTGTCTTGGTCTAACGGTTCGCCATTTATCAGGTTCATCACAAATTGTGTCACTTCTAAATAGACTAGGACATTGTGCAGCATGGGACACAGTTGTCAGTCTAGACAACTGTTGGGGCCGCTGGTCCCCGAGGTCCCTCCCTGCTTCGTGCCGATGGCTGGGGCTCCGCCGTTTGCCGACCCCTCGCTACTCTGCGACCAGCTGCTGCCGTCGCTGGGCTCATCGCCCGATGGCTCCCCTCCCTGGTCCGCCCCTCCGCGAGCTCGTGTGAGAGGCATAGTTCGCCGCCCGCTCTCGTTCACCTGTAAACGCTGCGTTGTCTCTCCACCAATCACGCGCTCTGAACGGGGGTCAGGGGTCGGAGGGCGAATGACGCTGCCCTCACACCACGCGAGTCCCTGCGGCGATAGATGGAGCGGGTACCTGTGGACGCACCGACCCCCCTCCCCCCACGCTACGAGCGCACACACCTGCACACAGCACCACGCGCTCCACTCACTCGTAAGACCACTCGAGGCTGCGCTGGGTTATTAATGGTTTATTTTCGGCTACCTGGGAATTGATGTTAAATCAGTATGAGTCGACGAAGCTGGCCTATTCCACTACCCCTGGACCTATTCCCTATTTATCGGCTTATGATACTAATTCCCTTCTTACTCACGGTTAGGTGCCCACGGCGGTCCGTTGATCCCGTCCTCGCTGCGTACCTCGATGCGTCGCACGGACGTCCGGGTCGCTGGGCTGGAGAGCGTCTCGTGGCCTGATGCTGGAGCAAGAGAGGGCTCTACCCGTTTTCGCCCCCCTTTTATCGTCCCTACATCAAAGTGATGCTGCTCCGCCTGTTGTGGTGCTCTCCCAGTTTTTCTTTAACAATGGGCGCGCGCCAGTCAGGGCGCGTGCAGCGGTTCCGGGCGCCTTTGCTATGCTAATAAGATGTGCTGCGTGTTGCGGCGTTTATTCTAATTAATCCCTTTCTCATGCATGGTGCCTTGGTTATGCAAATTATGCAGCGGCGTCCATCACAAAGGCTTGCCGTGAGAAGTTATGCGCGGAGCGTTCGCGTGTCTCCACCACTTACCCTATCAATTGTGCATGATGCGCCCGAGTCGCCTCTTTGATTATTTGTAATTCCAGCCTTTACTCCCCAACTTCCCTAATTTCCCTAATAATGGTGCCTACGCACTCAAGCGTAATTATCCTAACCATCAGCGACTACGCGCAAGAGCCCCTGCGGTCATGCTAATCATGCCGTCCCGTCCCTCCCCTGCCTGCCTCGTCGATACGTGCGTGGGTGTGGGGGGGTGTTTCAACCGTGGTGGCCGAGTGGCCCCTCGCCGCGACCTTGCAATGTTAATGCCGGCCGCAGCGCCGCGAAGTAGCATCGGGAGAGGTCGTCCAATTCCCTGGTCTCCGGAAACCGTGAAAGTTATCCCGATAAGGGCTTCTCGGATTAAAACCGGTCGGCCAGGTGACTTCCCCTCGGAGCTCTATGGGGGGGGGGGGGGGGGGGAAATGCGTGCGGGTGTGTTCATGTGAGGTGAGGTGGGGGGACGCGGGGGTCGGCTCCGTCACTTGGTGGTGGCGAGGTCGGGGGTGGGGCGCCCGTTGAGCGTCTTCGTGGTGGCGGCATCACACAACTAGCCTTGCCCAACTTCAACTAGTAGAGGGCAGAGACAAAATACCAAAGGGATTCTCAAAGAAGGTTCCTACAGTACTTGTGTGGGACAATATTGACTTTGGGGAGGAGACACTGTCAGGTCGTAGAACTACCCACCACACAAATGGGATTATGCTGCAAAATTCTGTAGTTGAACCTGTGTCAACAACAGACAACCACTACAGAAAGGAAAACCCTCATTGAAAGTACCCCCTAGCATCCCTGTCGAACAGTACCATCAGTCTAATAGACAAGGACCACATAACGTGTTTCATCAGGAAAGTGTTCCATTACAGGCAGACACATACAAATTGAACACGGTGTCTGCTGTACAAACTGAACTGGCATATGTTTTTGTAAAGTCCATAGATGCTGAAAGATGCACAATACCAAGCTGGACAGGTTTACATACATTACTTCAAGGTGATGGCACTCTGCAAAAGTCAGCACTGTATTATCTTCCAGTCATTGAAGCTTCACCGACAGAGATGTCAACAGTAAACACAATTCTGAAGCGAAGTGTCCAAATTTATAATCAGCTAGAACTGGACCATATAGTGTTAGTTTTTGACGAAGCTATATATGCCAAAGCTGAGCAAATCCGCTGGAAAGATTATGACTTTACTCAGCGTAAAGTGATTAGACTAGCTGAATTTCACACATGCATGTCCTACCTGAGCATTCTAGGAAAAAGGTTTGGAGATGCAGGACTGCAAGACATACTCATTGAGTCAAAAGTTGTTGCCCCAGGATCCATCAATGGAGTGATCAGTGGTCATCATTACAACCGCAGCATGAGGGCACACAAACTTCTGTATGAGAGTCTGCAACGCATGAGACTTCTTCTCACCTTCTTAGATTCTCTGCCACAAGAGGAGAGATATGAGTGTCTGGATGTTATCAATGAGATCAAATGTGCATTATCGGACAGAACAATGGTTTTGTGTGCAAATGAGATATTTGACAAAATTTGTTCGAAATATGAAGACTTTGTTAAAAGAAGAAGTGCAGAAACCCAACGTTTGCCTTCTGGAGTTCATACATCGACATGGTACAGATACCCCTTCTATTTGTGAGAGCAACACGAGAATCGGATTGGCAGCTTCACCTGTCAACAGTGCGCTTGATGATGGCATGGTTTTTTGCATACGATCGTGTAAATTATGCTATGTATTTATCTTCTTACTGGCTGGAAATGGTCCATTTGCCCCTCACACATCCTTCTTGCCACAGTGAGCTCAGTGTTAAAGGCCAGTGGACTGTCCAACGTCAAAGTGTCCATGGATTTGCCTCGATTGCTTGTGACCAGGCCATTGAGCAAACATGCAACAGAGATTCCAAGACAAAGGGTGGTTGTACAGGGTTAACACAGAATCGGGCTGCAGTATATCGCTGGATATTGTCGCAACATGAAAGGGCTGCCATAGCAAGACTAAGTGAGGCAATGGTAGGTAAATCTCCCGATATAAGGAAACGAAAAGACCTTGACAGCACACGAATTCATGCTGATGAAAGGGCTGTGACCAGCATAATTTCCACCCTAGATTCCATGCTGAATCCTTTTGACACACACCAAGATGGTAATGTGTGTCTTAGCTCTGGGAC